TTACGCCTGTTACCCTGAAGGAGCATAGGCCACCGACAAGTATAAAAACGTCTTACTCCTAGTGTGGAGTTTAATTGGTTTAAAGTATTTGTTCTAGTAAGTGTACTTTTTTATCAAGTTGGTTTTCTACAGGATGGAAACTCTAACCCAATGCTCATCAACTCTCCTCCTTTATCCAAGCTTGGGACCAGTAGTGATCCTAGAAAGGCTTCAGGGTGGAGTTTTGATATAACACTGCTAGCCACTCTACATCTCCTGCAATAGTTAGTGTTCGTCACCTGACAATTATGTTTAATTCAGATAAGTATGCTTATTATAACAACTGATGAAATATTCGTTATAACAACTCAATTATCCTATATTTTCTCGGTATTGAGTAGTCAATTTTTCACCAATCCCATGAACTACTACTGATCCAATCTATTTTATCATTCATTTTATTCATAGAGATCTTGAAGATCAATACCTGCTTCGATTGACATCGAAAGCACGTGAAAAATTATTCACTACAATTAATACCATTTCAGAATATTTTGTCACAAAATGTAGTAATAGTAGTAATAGTAAAAATGAGAAAAATAATCAACATATCATCAATTCAGATGAAACATATCTATGTCAACTTGGTGATATTATGTTTGATTGTGTCCAATATGATTGTTTACGTCGGTTGCGTTACTACTGGTTACCAAGATGGTTATTACACTGGGAAAGAATCATTAGAGATTGTCAATTTTTACCAAATAATCTCGGTGGTTCTAGTTTATTCTACATACCATCACGTTGTTCATCATTACTGAAAGATGATGTTGATGATGATGATCAAACTCAGCATAACAATCATCGTGAGTCGAAATCGTTCAGTGTAGGTATACAACGCACTAAATCATTGACTACGTCGGATATAGTTGATGAACAACAAGCTGGTGATCGAGATGTTGCGGATCATGATGATGCTGACGAGGTGCAATATGAAGAAACGGATGAATTATTTGACAATATCAATAATGATCAATCAATTGTTGATCGACAGAGTTCATCAACGCAAACAACACGTAAACCATCAAGTACACTGTCGAATGATGAGAAAACATGGAATAAAGAAATTTATGATTTAGCTATTAAAACAGCTTTATCAAAAACTGGTCTAATTCAATGTAATCATAATAATGAATTATTAAGAAGCATGCCAAGAAAACGTTTAAAATCTTATGTTCCATCACGATTGAATTCATCTAATCATAAAACAACAACAATGATGACACAATTATCATCAAAAATGTCAACAAATGATGATATAATACAATTATTATTATTCAATAAACATTCTAATCAACAATCAATAAAAAATAAATCATTATTTAAAAAATTCAATTTATCATCTACTATACCATATGATTTAAATAATATTATTGGTTTAAAAAATTGTCCCGGTTCAAAATGGCGGAATTTAAAAATTCAAAATTCAACAACATTGTCAAATATAACAATGAAAACAATAAAGAATCATCATTCATTAGAGAATCAAAAAAGTTCCATTGTGATTGATTCGTTTATGTCGACATTAGGAATAAATAATAATGATAATAGTAATAATAATATATTTTCATCAAATTTAAAACAGCATGATATCAAAGTGAAATCATCTCAACATAAATTAATCAATACTGGTAAATTGGAATTATTGGAAAAAGCAGAAGAATCGTTGACTACAACGAAATATCAAAAAGATCAGAATTATTCCACTGAACAAATATTGAAAAACAAGTGTTTATCAGCAATACACGCAGATGCTGCATCTGGTGGTCCATTTCAATCATATTTAGAAAGGTAGACGATTATTATTAGTATTATTATTACTATTATTGTCAATGTAGTGTATGTACATGTTACTTAATCGTCCTTTTGAACCTATTAATTGATATGTTGTTAATGTTAAGATTTGTAGATAGGAAGACCGATTATGTAGGGTTCGTTAATAGGTACGCTTGAAGCCATTACGAGTTTACCGCAGTCGATAAACGTGAACGAGACAGTGAACCAGCGTCCAGGTAGGCTACCATGAATCCTAAGCTGAAGATAGAAGACTTTGTATGAGTAGAAAGTATATTCTGCAAACACCCAGCAGTTACACAATACAATCAAGCACACAACTCTCGTTTATTTATACATCATAGAAACGTCTTTGGGACAGTTATGAAAATAGCACACTAAAATACACAGCAGCCAATCACAGCCATGGATTTTCCTGGTGGGAAATGAAATCTCAAGCTCACCAACTGATCAGCCCATACTGGCAAATGTGAAATCCAAAATTAAGGCATTTATCAAGCGAATTTTGGGGATCTAACATCCCTAAAAGCAATGCACAAACAATTTCACCATAATATTCTGTCAGAATTTCTTTTTTCATGACTACCATCGTGATATTTAAATTTGAAATACATTTGTTTAGTCATCTAAGATGGTATATTGTTATTCAATGTCAACATCGTACTACTAAAATTCTTACAACGGACTGACTACATTACAAAATCAGGTATGGAGGATAGGAGACAAACTCGTTGTTAGTGAAGAACGATGAGAGACATGGTTGCTTACTGACAGCCTTTGTATTTCTCTTACCGGTTGAGAACCTCAAAATCTTAAGGGAAACACGGAATTCAGTGGGAAGACAGGTTGCAGCTAGATGATTTGGACTTCACAGATTACCAAGTTCTTCTATCCCACACAGCAGGAGAAATGTAGCAGCAGCCTCTGCAGCAGTCGATGTCAACATATACAAAGGGGAAAAAGTATCATCTTCAGATAGGACACGACATTTACCAACCAAAACGCATTTGACGGAGAAGCTATGGAAAATGTAGAAACCTTTATATATCTATGCAGCATCATTCATAAACAAGGTAGTTTTGATGCAAATGTAAAGACAGATCAACAAAGAAAGAGGGGAATTTTTACGGTTGAAGAATATCTCGACCTCAAAACAACTGCCAACAAACACCAAAATCATCATTTTCAATATGAATATCAAAACAGTTCTACTTTATGGAGTGAAAACTCGGAGAACTACAAAAATCGATATTCACAAGATACAGGTGTTTAGTATCAGTTATCTACGCAAGACCATGTGCATTTGTTTAGCCGGAAACCATCAGCAACAGTCTATTGCGGGGAGAAGAAATCGATTTCTAGCGGTAGACGAAATTCGAAGAAAAGTGTTCGAGATGGATAGGAAACCACTAAAATGAGTCAGAAGGTAGGCCACAACTTGGAGTCTTAAGGGACGAAGTAAAAGAGGTACATGTATGAATATAGTGCACCGAGAATTAGAGACAGACATAAAGAGAATGAATAGCGATCGGAAACACAGTTGAGTGCTGACTCAGTGGTTCACAGGTTAGGCATTCGCGCACAAGTCTCTGAAGGTCCCGACTTCGAATCCTGCGAGGTGCAGGAGTCGTGGATGCACACTGCCACTGATGAGTCCCATACCAGGACGAAACGGCTATATCTCAGTGCATCCAGGTTTCTAATGTTGGTCTAACAATCATTGATTGATGATCTAAATGTTCAACAAACACTGATCTCCATAACCCTAAATGAAAAGAAAACAGTAGGTAAGGAGACCTCTGGTCAAAAATAGTTTTGAGGTTGTTGATCGTTGGTAACTGAAAATTCACAAAGTACATAATATCTATCTACTTCAAAAAATTATAATTTATTAAAAATTTAGACAACGAACAAAATTTTCTTTATTAAAAAATGAATTCATTTGATTTTCTATATTGATTTGAGCGTGCATTTTTTTCGAATTTTCATTTTGCTTCGTTTTTTTTTGTTGAAAAAAACAAAACATTGTACATTGTACATTATTGAACTGGATTGATTTTTAGACAAGGTTATGAAAAACAAAATCGAATGATTGGATTTTTACAAGCAATTTATGATTATTCAAAACAGAATTTACTATCAATGATTAATCGTTTTTCAAAATTAACAAAAATTTGGTTTATTGTGAATAATTTTTTAAAATCAAATAGTCGTTGGTGTATTGGTAAGTTATTAATTTTTTCATCTAATAGTTGATTGATGTATGATAGCGAAAGTTACTAACTTTCTTACTGAATACCTGTTATCCGTCATCAAATATAGGCTGCCCCGCAGCATTTTCCAACCTACTCCTTCCTATCCTGAACCTTCTTTTCCAGTTCTATCCAAATGATGTTCTTCATTCTTCTCATGTTTGTCTCCAGTTTTCGGTGTAACGTGTTCTTTGGTCTTTCTGTTCTTCTTTGATCCTGAAGATTCCAACTGAGGGCTTATCTTGAGATACATTTGGGTGCTTACCTCATTGTGTGGCCTATCTACCTGCAGTGCTTCTTCCTGATTTCTTCCTCCGTTGAAACCTGGGTTGTTCTCACCCAGAGTAGAGTGTTGCTGATAGTGTCTAGCTGTTGGATCTGAAGTATTTTGCGAAGACAACTGTTAATACGCACTTGTAGCTTGTATCTTGTGGATGATAGCCTTTGTAGCTCTCCAAGTTTCCGCTCCATATAGTAGAACTGTTTTAACATTTTTATATTGAAAATTCTGATTCTGGCGTTGAAAGAAAGATAGTTGGTTTGAGTTCAAAATGTTCTTTAACTGTAGAAATGCTGCCTTTGCTTTGTTTATCCGCGCCTTCACATCTGCACCAGATCCACCTTGCTCGTCAATGACACTGTCCAGATATGTAAAGGTTTCGACAGCTTCAAACGCTTACCCGTCAAGTGTGATTTGGTTGGTGCATGTTGTGTTGTATCTGAGGATCTTGCTTTTTCCTTTGTGTATGTTGAGACCTATTGTAGTAGAGGCTGCTTCTAGACCGATCGTCTTCTCCTGCATTTTCTGTTGCGCATGGAATGGAAAATTCAGGGCATTTGCGAAATCAAGATCGTCCAACTGGATCCTAGCCGTCCACTGTTATATTGCTGGCCCCCCCCCCACAGATATTGGCGTCTTCATGATCCAGTCGGTCAGCAGCAGAAAATAAAGGTTGAGAGTGAACAACCTTCCATAACCCCGGTCTTCACTTGGAACGGGTCTTTCATTTGTCCTCCATGCACGATTTTGCACTTTAATCCATCACCAGAATCCCTCATGATGTTGACTATCTTCTCAAGCGTGCGGTAAATTTTACTTTTTCTACTTGATTACGGAATTAATATGTCAGGGAAACTTTCAGACTTACATTTAAAAATAACTATCAAGTTGCAAGTCGACAAAGTAGAAAACACAGAAGTGTTGTTGTTAGGAAACGAGTACTTGGTAGGGATGACAAATCAATAGATGAAGTATTGAAACTTCATCAGTTGAAGTGGTTCGGACATGTGTAGGAGCAGGTTGGAAGAAAGCTAGGGGCGGCCAAACCAAAACATTGCACAAATCCATGAAGTTACTGGCAAGTGGACTGAGGTATAGCAGTCAGTGTCGACTACCTGATTGGAGTCCTGGAGATGATAGCAATCGATGGTTAGAGATCCTGTATGATATGGCTCAAAATTGTTTGCAATGGAGCAGGTGCATCCTTTCTTTGTGTTCCCTTAAATCCTAACCTCCAGAGTTCCTCATCACTTTATCTTTTTCTTTTCAAGTTTATTTCACTAGAT